TAGTGTAGTTCATTACATTCTGCTTCTTGGACGGTTTGTATGGAGCATCTCTAGTCCTGTACGATGTGCGACATGCGCGTACGGAGTAATTAATACTTTGCAATTGCGTTCTATCTCTCCTAATAATATTTTACAGCGAAGGGATGCCGACAAGAAAAATTTGCAGTCCCCATCAATAGAGCTTCAGGGGTCCAACGGGAACGACAGGGAAACAGCCAAGCGGAGGACCTGTGGCTGTGACGGGACAGGAAAAAAAACAAATCACCATGAAAAAGAAAAGCGGGAGGGGATTTATCAAATAGGTTGGGACAATCAAATACAGCGACGCTGGATGGGAAAAGGAAGCAAAATGTAAGCATGGTGGGCACATTGACGTCGACATAGGGAAGTGAATAGAGACAGCGGTCCATGGTTCTTGTCCAACTGCATTTTTTTTCTTCTCTCATTTTTTTCGGCCTTGGCTTTTTGGCCTTCAGTATTTGGCCTGTGATAACCATCCAAATGACCTTTCAGGGACCGTTGCCTCGACACTTAGTGCATTTGTACAGGGATCCTTGGGCGTTGTTGGGCTGGTCTGTGGAGAAAGCTGAAAAGTCATGACGACAGCTAAAAGGGGGAAAAAAGCAAGCACCTGAGGCAAAGCAAATAACCCGCTCCAATGTACGATGAACGATGTACTTTCGTGAGATACGAAGTATGAGGCCGAAGGGACGGGCCAGGCCTTGGTCGCGGACAGGTACGAATACGGGAGTGCAGTATTCATATCTCCACACAATGAGAGTTATCTGTATGTCACATCCACGATTTAGAAGCTGATAGTCTTCTTGTCTGTATGCCTACGATGAACTGGATGAGGTTACCGTTCTGCCGACTGTCGTTTTGATATGGAGTAGTTATTGAGACGGTGCAAGTTTGGTAGATTTTTCCCCTGCATGCCAATAGCAGTCTTGATATACATATGTCGAACCTATAACACGCAACGGTAAGATATTGCAGCTACGACTAGAAGGTACTGTAGCAACAGGCTTTTTAATCTAGCAAGCCACATGGTGGATTATTCTTTTTAGCGGCACCAATATCAAGCTCAGCCAAATACAACACCAAAAAGACGCAATCAACAGGCCTTCTGCGTCCCATGGAGAGCACACTGCAAAGTATATCAAAGGCTGGTAGTTTTACCTCGTCCCATTTTAAGCCTCTTTAACGTTCGTTAGAACACATGTTGCCGTGCCAAATGGACTGGCCAACGGCGGCGTCATAGCTCGCTATCTGCTCCCTTGCCTTCTCGATTATGACCTAGACATTGCACAGCTTTTGCTGTGCTTCTGGTGCTCTGCAAATATTTTCTTCTTCGTGTGTACGAAGCAGTCTTTTCGTTCCTGTACAGCTGGACCGCGTCTTGGGTCTTTGCGGTTCCGATGGGTAGCAGTGGCGCGTTTATTTTCCGTGCACGCAGTGTTTGATTTTTGTTGATTTTTTCTGAATTTCGTGGTTTTCTTTGCCATTTTATTTTAGACCCGTCGGTGAGACACGCGACCTGGTTGGCTGGAAGCTCCTGACGGCGTTGTTTGTAATTAATTTTTACCTGCGAAATCCTTCTGCGCTTTGTCTCATTCCCTCTCTTTCTGTGCCGTGTTTCAACCATTCCCGCTCTTTCCACAATTGGTGCTGCATTTGACAAGGGCGTGCACTTTCCAAGTCTACGTTCTCTGTGGGAAAAAGCGTCTTAAAAGTCACGATGAAAATTTCTTCATATATTTGGCCGTACAGTAGCTCACATCCACAATATGGAGATGGCTCCAGGCCAACAAATTCTCTGACGCTTCTTCAATTTTTTGTCGCTCTGTTAGCTGCGTGTCAGAGTTTTCTCCTCCACAGCGGAGAAGCAATATACGGCGGGCGTCTCGGGAGTGAAAAGTGAAGAATTACAAACCAAAAGACGATAACGTAAAATCGCGAGCACCGAGCTGGTCGGCGACGAACTGGACTGGCAGCATTTGACTGGGTGAAAAGAAGAGACACCGACAGTCAACGAGGCTGGCATCCCAAGGAAGCATGCTATCAAAATATATCGACCCCTTCTCGGGTTGTTTCACGTCCGCCAGAATGGCACAAATTTGGTTGATTCGTTTCGGCGACGTTGTCAAGCAGGCTGAGCAGCCTGGCAGCCTTCCTGTCGATCAGAAATGGCAGGCCCAGAAACAATCGTGCCGAAGGGAAGGTGCGAGGGCCTTGTGGCCAACCGGCAAACCAGGAAGGCACGAACACGAGCCCGCAAAAGGTGAACAAGGAACTCACAAACCAGCACACCCGCAAGTGCTGCGTTTGCCAGGTGCTCTTCTTCATTATCCGCAGAAGGAACGATCAACCAAAACGATGAACTCCGGCATCCACTCCCCACTTACGAACCGCCCTTAGTGTTCGGGCACTCCTGCCTGCCCATCACATACGCCAAACACCCTGCTCCACCTTCTGTCTTCATTTCTCTTCCCTCTACGCAGGGAAGGTGCTTGTCGATGTGCTGCATGCAAGCACTGTGTACAAAGCAAATGGAGTAGGTGCTTGGAGCACGAACATCGCTCCATGGATTTCTCTTGGAACCATTGAACATCTCACCTTGTCACAAGCAGTGCCTCAATCTCATGCTTGCCGAAACAGGGCGTGCGTTCGACACACAAACGCGATGTCTTGTGCTTGCCTTTTGCCAATCACACCAAAAGTCGTGACGGACACCAATTGGCCAATCGCCAGTCGCATTTCCCTCCGGGTCCTCGAAGCTCTATGTTGTACTCCTTACGACCTCGTCCTTGTTGTAAGATATCCCACCACCCATCGTCTCACCCTCGCCATTCCTCCCCGCTCTCTGCCACAGCTCACACCAGTCACAGCACCCTCTGCACTTTCCAGTACGGCAAACTCCACCCAAATAGCGCTCAGCACCAACAATATACCCACTAGCAACTGAGCCACCAAGATGCATTCGCGATATGGAGTCGATCAGCGGCGCCAATGGCAGACCAACAAACCCGCCAGGCCAAACACAGCCATGCGAGCGAGGAAAGAGGGGACAGACGAGTGGAGGCCCGACTATGATCTCAATCCCTCACCAAGGAAGCCCGAAGGTACCAAACAGGCTTGATCCTGCATGCTCTCACACTAACATGGCCAGGGACAAGGAAAACACGCTTCAGTACACGGCTTTAACACGTCTGTTTTGCGCTTTACACGCTTTCGTCACGCCTCTCGACACGTCTCCATCATCGCCGAGCGAAAAACAAGACACACTCACCCACAGACACACAAGATCTGGCCAAAACGAGACAAGGCTCAAAAAACGCGCGTTTGAAATATCTCCGCAATGCTTGCCAAGTGTCGCTGTTCCTTCACCCCCTTCCCCTCTCTTCAAGGATGTCACCAAACACTCAGCATGAGTCCTTCGTAACCATCACACGCCTCGTCGTTGACGCGGGTCTGCGCACGACACGCAGAAACCGGTCAAGCGGCAGTGCATCGTCAGGCGCTAGTGAGCCGATAAGGGCCCCTCAGGATCTTTCGATGCAATGTCCAATGTTCTGCAGTGGGATGTGTCGTTCGTCGTCTGCAGACTGCAGAGTTACAGTGGGCGTGGCTGCTGCATCCCACGATGGATTACATAATATTGCACCTGCCCCTTTCTTTCAGAATGGAAGTCACGTTTCCTGTCTTACTTGGAAGAGCACCTCACCTCCATCAACTCACGACTTCTCAGACGACGGTCACCACGACCTGTGAACACGCATTGTCGTTTTCTTTTTCTCTCACGTTGCCCCTCTTTGTATCCTCTTTGCGTCTGTCCTTCCTCTCTCCTCCTTCTCTCTGATCCTCTGGTCGACTGCCTCGCCCCTCTCTCCACCTTTGCCTCCTTATTCCCCTTGTCTATGCTCATCGCCTGGTCCTTGCACCTTTGCTCCAATTCTGGTCGATGGTTGGCTGCTTGCTTCTGCGCGTTGGTTGGTTGGCAACAGGATGGAGCTTTTTGGCGTGCTGAAGCTGACTTTCTGGCGTGCTGGACCACTTTTCTGACCCGGCCCTGGCCATCGGCTGGCTGACCTTCGGCTGGCTGGCCATCGGCTTCCTGTTTTGCGTCTCAGAAGAGCAAACGGTAGTGCATCTATGTATCAAAAGCATGCTCTTCCAATCCGACCCTTCGTAGTCTGTACTTTTTGTCCTTTCACTTGGTGGAATGAGTCGATGCCTCTTTCTTGGGGTCTGCTCCTTACTTGCCTGCGTAGAAATACACACTCCCGATTCGTTCCTCTCTGTCTCGGGGCTTCCCAGCTGCCCAATATACCCCGTAGTTGCTTTTTCCTCAGTGTCTTGTAGCTGAACCACCGGCCCTCTTGCCGTCTCCAGCCAATCTCGTCCACGCCTCAAATGGCTCTGACAACAGTATGCACACACCCCTTGCACACCCCCTGACGGCACCCGCTGCACCACTGGACCACGCTACGGAGGACAGGGCCTGCTTTCACACAATTAACACCCCAGTAAAGCACAGAAGCACACACCTCCACCACCATCCCCTACCCCCAGTCGACCCAGCCCGCGCCCACTTTACGCGGGCTCCATCGTATTAGGTGAGATGTGCACCAAAGTTGAGTTACTCGGTCCCAGAGAGTGTCGTTGAAGGTGTGGTGCCGCCTCAGTGTGCTTGTATGCTTGTGTGCTTGTGCGCTGAGCGCCAATGAATCTTTTGGTGCCTCTTGCGCCCGTTGAGCCTGCGATGCCTCCCAAGCCAAACGCTGAGGCCTCTGTGCTGCCGTCTGCAATATGCGGTCGGTGGCAGCTTCCCTACCCGTCCTCTCGTTACTTCCTCGTACTCTCACACAAACTCACCCCGGTCTCCCCTTCCTTTTTTAATTCTCCATCTCCCCTCTTCCCTTTTCCTGTTTCGTTTCCTTCTCTTTCTCTTCTCCTCTTTTCCTTCCTTCCTTTGCTCTTCCTTTCTCTTTCATCCCTCTCTATCTCTCTTTCTCTTCATTCCTCTCCTCGCCGACCGCTCCTTCCTCTATCCCCCAGGAAGGCCCGACAAGTTTCTCTGTCCCAGGCAAAACCGCAAATCTGCTTGCCTTTTTTCCCGGACCAACCTCGTCCTCTTTCTCGAACCGGAAACTTGAGTCGACAAAGCAGGTGCAAGCAAGCGAAAGTCGAATCCGAACAATCGTTTTCGAACCGCGGAGTAAAAAGGGGGAAGGAACGTCTGTCATCGACTGTTGTCCTTCGTACCTCTCTCTCTTCGCTTCTTTTCGACTTTCGACCTTTCGACTTCTCCTTTTTCGTCTCGCCATTCAGCCTTTGTCTTGTTTTCCTTTTTGCTTTCGTCTTTCGTCAAACCCTCATCGTTTCGTACGCCGCCCGTCTCGATTTTATATAGCATTTCTGGCTTCCTCTTTTTCGTCCCTTTCTTCGTACGTATACCGTATTACTAGGCATCTGCGCCACCTACATACTCCATCATCCCTGATTTCAGATCCGAATCTCCTTTTCTCTCTTTCGGCGCTCCTGTTTGTCCCTTCGGGAACTGTTGTCGCATTCTTTAGCTCTTATCCCTTTCCCTCTCCCCATCTCCCTTGCCACCTAGTCAACCTACATTCCCATTGGGAGATTCGACCAAAGTCGACGAATTCGAGCTGACCAAGGCATTTAGAGCCTCCTTTGCTTGCCTCCTGGCCGCCCTTTCGTTTATCGAGCATTCCTTTTCGACGACGACCTCATCACGAGATCCGATTCGACTCGATCTACGATTGCCCTGAATCCCCCTCGAGACCACAGAACACAGAAATCGCCAACAACAAAAAGCCACAAACTTTTTGTTGTGTTCCCTGCGGTTTTCTACATGATCGCCTCGATCGTCACATTGCCCTCATCTTTTTGAAGGCGTTGAACGTGAGGTGAGTCGGCTGAAAAGACGGTGGCGTAGTAGACGGCCGTGACAGATGGCGACGGCGTAATTCCTACTGTTGGTGCAGGTGGTGGCTGGTTCCTGGCTGGTTCCTGGCTGGTTCTTTGTTCATTGTTCTGGATGCTGTTCCTGGATCGTCAGGAACAAGGCACCGCCAGCAAGCGTCACCGGCACAAGTGACACATCACTACTCACCAACTTGTAGCCGCCCAATTGTGTTGTGTCACTTGTTACTCGCTCTGATGGTCTCTCTGGTCCCTTTCTTCATCTGCTAATCCATCAATTTCCAATAGCTGCGTGCCAGTCCGGCATTCTCTCCACCTTCGCGTCTCTCAAATCCAACCGGCCCTTTTCCTCAGGCTTCGCATTGCTCGTGGGACACGTTAACTCGTAGCTCCTACACTCTGTGCCTTGGAATAGTGTCATTCCTGCCGCTTGTGCTGTCCTTAGCAGATTCTCACAATCACCTCACCGTGGCGGTAAGTACGATCAACTGCGCGCTGTCTCGTGCATTACTACCATTTGTGTCTCCCTCGTCCATATCCCTTTTGTTCTCCACGCAAATTTCCCATCCGCCTTCAACACGGCCCTCTTTGCCCTTATCCTTCTAGCGACCCCAGCATCGACCCCTTTGCAGAACCTTGGTATCTTTGTTTCGACCGTGTCACTGTGGCCGTGAATTGTGGCCTGTGATCTGTCCGCCGTCCGAATTGCATCGATTCGTATCGCGTGTCTCGACTTTCGCTGGCTATTGTTCTCGCTGTTTCTCTTTTTCACGCAACGGCCACTATATCTGGCGCCCGATATCTACTGCTCCATTGAAGTGCAATTCCGAGATTGTGTTCGATAGATCGTTTCCCAGCAGGTGCCCGGTCTCTGGAACGCCAGATGACGCGTTGTACAACAATCCGAGAAATCGAGAAGCGGAGAGAGCAACTCAACAAAAGGGCAGAATCTCCCGATATGGCAGACCGCCTTGACGCGTGACATGATATCCCGCGCATTTTTGACGCCTCACCTGGCAAATTGCATTTCCAACGAGCACACACGAGCACACGAGCGGACACGACCACACAGGTGACACAAGACAAGACGAGGGCACACAATACGTCGAATCCTCCAGTAGAGGACAAGCGCCACGACCTAAAAGTAGCAGCCAACATTCTTCAGCACGTTTTTTGGCAGCACACCTCATCTTCCCCATCCCTTGCCTGGTTCGCTCATAACCTTCACCCTCGCCCTTTTCGTTCCTGCCCTGACCCTTTGTCAAACCTCCACCGGCCCGCGTCTTTTCTTTTGCCCTTTTACCCTTCCTCTCTTTTGCCCCCTCTCCTGGATACCCCTCTTGTCCATCGTAACCGGCAACCAAATCTTGCGAGCGGATCTGCATAGCTGTCCTCGAGGCTGTCGCCTGCGACCGGTTCCTGTGCCTGTCGATCCATCGAGGATCCAATCGTGGATCCAGCGAAACCCCTCGTCTCTCACCGTCCTTTCTTCAGCCTGGCTTGGCTTTCGACTGGATTTCGGTCTTTGGCAATTTGAGAGACGCGCTTGTGAACGCTGACCCTTAGTTCACCACACGCGATAACATTCTTCAAGGCCGCTTCTTAACCAATTTTGTCGAATGCCTCAAATTCCTGTCACGCTCGTTAATTGATTTGATTCACCTGATCCACATCCCGCATGTCTTGCCCAACTCTACCCTTTTACCACCCTCTTTTTTACAGATTACTTGCCGCTGCTTTACGGATTGGACCAATGTCGAATGCTAATATATAACCGCTCGGCCTGCAGAACCTCAAGCAGCAAGACCGTCTTTCCACTCGCAGTCTTTGTTCTCTCTCACCGGCATCCGTTCTTTTTTCCTTCGTTTTTTGTTTGCTTTACAACAACCGGCCTCGTCGCCACCGTCACTCTTTATTTTTTAATTCTTCACACTCCTTAATATTCTAATAGACCATTTCGACTGGTTGGAATAATTCGCTCTCTACAGCATCCTTCACAGTATCGATACCGATCGCTTCTACCGGCTTCCGTTTCTTAATTTACAACCACCTCCACTCCTTGAAGAGACCACCAATTGTTTTCGACTCACGGCGACCAACTCGCCCCGAATACACGACAGTCTTTTTGTTTCAAGCTTCAAGCTTCCCGGAGAGCTCGAACCGACATTCTTTTACATTATTTTTGACTAAACGCAGCCCCATAACCAAGCACCCAATATGGCTTACCATCAGACCAAGGACGAGACTTTCTTTGTCGAGTCTGACGAATGTACCATGTCCATGCCACGCATGACCTCCCGCGAGGCCGCCAAGATGCTCGCACGAAACCGGCAAGAGATGATAGGCAACGAGCTGTCCCGCCTGGCCTCTGACGAGTACCTCGAGGACATCATGCAGCACATGCGGCACATGGAGGACGAGACCCTTCCCGACGTCAACCTGATCGATATGCAGCGCGAGATTCAGTGGTTCATGCGCCCGTACCTCATCGATTTCATCGTTGAGGCCCACGCTGCCTTTGCCCTGCTGCCTGAAACCCTGTTCCTGACTGTCAATCTGCTCGACCGTTACTGCTCCAAGCGTGTCGTTTACAAGCAGCACTACCAGCTTGTTGGCTGCGCTGCTCTGCTCATTGCCGCCAAGTACGGTGACAAGAAGGACCGTGTGCCCCAAATCAACGAGCTCAACAACATGTGCTGCGGCTTGTACGACGCCGGCATGTTCACCCAGATGGAGATGCACGTTCTCAACACTCTGGAGTGGAACATTGGTCATCCCACAGTTGACTTCTTTGCCCAGCTTATCATCGCCGACGAGCGCGACGACCGTGAGGTGGAGCACATGGCTGCCTACATCAGCGAGATCGCCCTGTATCACCGTGATTTCGTCTCGACCAAGCCTTCGACCATGGCCCGCGCCTCGCTGGCTCTCGGCCGTGCCATCCTCGGCCGCCCTGAGGTCAACGACGGCGAATGGGACCACGCTGACAATGTCACTCTGCTCACTCTGTCCCAGAACCTGCACCAGCCGTCCGCCACACTGTCACGCAAGTATGCGTCTTCCCACATGTCGGGTGTCTCTGCAAAGCTCACCGACTTCTTGGCCCGCCACGCCGCATCTATCAACAACAGCAGACTGGTTGCCAACAACAGCCGTGCCTCGCCGCCCTGCGAGTCGGCTGTCGCCGCCGACATTTACAATACGCCTCAGAAGGGCATGGGCGCTATGCCCGGTGTGGCCGATGGCTACATGACACCGCCCATCACTCCCGACGGGCCTTGCTTCGGAGGCAACGGTGCCGCAGGAAAGGAGGTTTACCAGGCGCTGCCACCACGGTGCCCGGTCACGCCGACACCACAGCCGAACCACGCCGCACCTGCCAACTACGTGCAGCAGCACCCACATCAGCAGTTGCACCCACAGCAACAGCAGCAGCATCACCAGCCTCAAGTACACCATGCGGCGCAATATGCGACCTACTACGAAGCGCACGTGGCGCATTAAGAAGGAGTAATGGTGAAGCACATTTTACCTCGCCATCTCCCCTTCCAACAACTCCCGTTGAGGTGTGGGTTCACCCCAACCTCGCACTCTTGCGTTTTTATCTTTATTACCCAACTGCGATGCCTCCCCTTAGCTGGTCCGAAGTATTAGACTCCTTGATACCCTCACAACCCCACCCTGCAGAGGATGGGGTGTGTGTCTGATAATTCTGCTGTTGTACCAATACTCTCACCCTCCTCATCCTGCGGTCAACAGCAGGACGGATACATGCAGGCCCAGCCTCTCTGCGAGCTTTTTCACCTTTTAAAGTTCGTCACTTTTTTTCTGAACAGTTTTCCAAAATATTGTGGGTGCGTTTATTTCCCGGGAAAGAGAAAAAAGAATGTGCTCTGCTCTCTGCATCTGGCATACAGGATTTTGATATGTTTTTATTTCTCGATTTATTTCTCGATTTTTATTTCTTTTCATCAGCGACATGGCATTAGCGATTGCTTTCATCTTTCATTCTTATCGTTGCCTTTTTATTTCTTTTGTCTGTTGGTTGTTACTGTCTGTTTCCTTATTCCCTTGTGTCGAACATCTTTTTACCTGCAATATCACACAACACCTGTCGACTATTTCGCCGACCGCACGCACACCCTTACATTTTCAGACGTGGTCTTAACGACCTGTGCCTCCTGGCACTCGACAAAGACACGACTCTTACTCTTTGTTATTTCTGTTTTCGCTCACCTCGAAAACGAAAAGAAAAGGCGGCCGGCAAATGGATCGAGCGTCCCGAAAATAGGCTCTTGGCTTATTCGCAATTGTCTACCAAAAAAAGCACACTTCACATACCACCACTTTTTTTTACCCCTTTTATTGTCACCATTATTATTTGTCACCAAAATTGAAACCTCGCCAACACGTACATCGACTGCGCACGCCAAAAACACAACATCGCGAAACCGCCCCCCACATCTTCAAAGCAATTTATGCAAAACGGTCCGCCCGACAAATGTTTGACGGGTTGTTCTTTTCTGATTTAAAAAAAAGAACATTTTCCATTCAGTCCCCTGGGAGGGACGTCGAATGGGGTTTTAATTTATTTTTTTAGTTTCAGAAAAAAAAAGAAGAAAAATAGCCATTTATGGATCTCAAATGATTTGCCTCCTTGCATTTGTTCTTTGCCTTGCCTTGTATGTGTCTTGTGTGCTTGTCTGTCCTGCCTTGCCTTGCCTTTTACGACAGTTGCGATGCTTGATTCCTTTGCTTCTTGGGGATTTTGCTCTACCTTGTTCTGTGTGTATGAGATGTACGACAGTGTATGCATTGAAATGTTTCTTGTACGCTACTGTATGAATATGACTATGAAAGTACTAAACATATTGATAGCATTAAGGCGTGCACATTGTCACCATTGACGTTTTCATGTCTGCTTTGTTTACGCCCTTTACTCTCGTTACTCTCCCTTCTCCTTCGTCACGGGCTCGCCCTCGACGGTATCCACGTGCTCCCGCACAACGCGATCAACGGCGGCCTCTGCGTCTTCGCTGCCGGCCAGGAGGTCGATCCACGCCGTCCGAGTGTCCGGGTGTGCCAGAAGCAGGTCGGCCGCGCGGGCCACGGATGCACGGCTCACCTTGCCAATGGAGCCCTTGGTCCGGCCCAGCTCAATGGAGCCTGCGGGCTCGTCCGACAGCGTGCCGGGCCGCAGGTTGATGCCCGCAAAGGAGGTACCCCGGCGCTTAGCCGCGCGGTACAGGGCCTCGTCGGCGGCGATCTTGGCCTGATAGTATGTGGGCAGCACCTTGGAGTTGACGTGCTGGGCCGAGGCCCAGCTGTCGTCATCCCACCAGGCGGGCCGGGCGCGGCGGCTGCTGATGTACGAGACCATCAGGAAGCGGGTGACAAATGACGACGCGCCGGACGCATCGATAACGTGCGTGGCAGCATCGCGGTCAATCGCCAGCGTGCGCTCGGGTCCGCCACGGCCGCCGGCGCCGGCACTCCAGACCACGTAGTCTGGGCGGACCTGATCGAGCAGCTGCTGGGCGGCGGCCTGGCTTTGCACAAGATCCTCGAGGCTGTGGACGAGGACGTGGAGGTTCTTGCGGGCGTTGGCGTCGGGCGCAAGGGCCTCGATGTCGGGCACCTGGTCCTGGGAGCGGATCACGCTGGTGACGGTCCAGGCGCGCTGGAGGAGCAGTGGAGTAAGGAGCTGGGCGATTTTGCCGTGGCCGCCGAGGACGAGGACGTGGTGAGCCATTGTAGTGTTGTGGTGGTGGTTTTGCTGTGGTCGTTCCGTGGGATGGTAATTGGTAGAAGCTTGGAGGAATGCCACTTGACAAAATACGAGATGCAATTGGGACGACCGCCTTTTATGTATGGTCGTCAATTGGAGGCGAAGGATTCGGGCTCTCTGCATGCGAAGGGGCAACCGGGGATAGCAGTGTTTGTACTGTTTGCGGTGCTGCAGGGCTCGTCTATACAAGCTTTTGGTTCAGAGACATGAGATTCTTTGTGTCAGCGTCGCACAATCGCGGGGAAAGGCGTGATCGCAATGACGTCAAGGCGGTTGTTGGCACATCAATTCATTTCGGGTGGCCTTCCTCAGCGACTGCTACACTGTTTTTCTCCTTACCTTGTGTGAGTAGGCCGCAATGTTTTATATCCAAATAATGATGATACCTTTTGTGCCGTGACAAGTGTGCAATTGTCCAAGTCGTTGCCGAATGATCCGAGAATCGAACGAACCATGATGGGCAATGAAAACAAGCAAGATTAATGATGTGTTCAAATTGCCCAGGACATGTGGTGACCTGCCGCCAGTATCCACGCTTGGGTGTGTGAGTTCGACAAAAACCAAACGGACGATGTGTGAATATTTGGGTAAACATCAATCCGCTCAAAGCTCTATCATTGGAAGGGCACGGCACAGGGCAGTCAGGAGGAAGAGCAACAGACCGAAACTTTGGGTAGCAGGAAGGCACACAGCACTGGAACTGGAAAGAGCTCACAGCGCTCCCACAAGCGCCTTCCGCTATTTTTGGTTGACTGGCACACGTGATCATACTTTACGCAGTGGACTCTCCTGTCGTACATCTCCAACCCTTTTTCATTGGAGACCACTTCTCCGAGTTCCATGCCACCGCCAGAACCAAGCCCAACCCATCGCGCTGTCAAAATGGCGGATCACCAAGCGGTAGACTCTGTAGGTCCGTTGCACCTCCACACACCTCGTATGGTCATGCAGCACACGTTGACAGCTTTCGCGCACCTCCTCGTCGACAGATGATGTGTGGACTGTAGATAAGGCCCTGGTGGCTCACGGTATCGAAATTCCTGAGAACGTGACCTCGCCCATCACCTTCTTTCATATCCTCGAGAGGCTCAAGACGACCAAGCGGCAAGGCTGGCTGCGGCACGGTATCAATGCGTGAGTGCTGTGCACCCCCATGTCTCTGCGTTTTGTCTCTGTGATTTAGATCTGGGTGTTCTGACAGCTGGCAACTTCAGTGGCGAGTCCATTGCGGACCACATGCACCGCATGGGCATCATGGTCCTTTTTGCGCCGCCGTCCGTCCGTGCCGCCGTCAACCTCGACAAATGTCTGAAAATGGCGCTGCTGCACGACGTCGCCGAGACCATTGTCGGCGACATTACGCCGTCGGACGGCGTACCGCGCGACGAAAAGTCACGTCGCGAGGCCATTACGGTCGACTTTTTTGTCGACCGGCTGCTGGGCAGCGCGCACGGCGGCGACGACGCGTCGGCCGCCGAGATGCGCGCCGTGTGGAACGAGTTTGAGAGCGGCACCATTGACGGCGTGCCCGACTCGGCCTCGCCCGAGCGCGCCTTTGTGCAGGACCTCGACAAGATTGAGATGCTTCTGCAAATGTCCGAGTACGAACGTCGGCATGGCGTCAACCTGGATGAGTTTACGTACTCGGCAACCAAGATACGCATGCCGGAGATGCGTGCCTGGGCCGACGAGATTCTCGCGGGCCGGGTGAAACAGACGACGGCGGCGGGCCCGACTGTGGCCAGCCGGGAGCAGCAGGACGAGTACTACGGGAAGTAGGCTTGACGGCAGACGCAGGAAACTCCAAATAAAACATATGTTATCTCACACAGCACAGTCAAAGTGGTCTGTACTATTTTGCACGGTTTTCAATGAGCGGCACTCCGGTAAACATTGTTCCAATTGCAATAGGAGTCCCACTAGATTATTCCATATTCATGAACATTCACTGAAGAGCCTTGACATGTATGAAGTAGGAACATGTCGTCCTTCTTAGTCTTCAAAACTGTTAAAGAATGCATACTTGTTGATTGGCCCATTCTCTGTCAACGACCCATTTTTATAGAAGGTCCACTGTGCAAGACGGCCCCGCTAAAACAATAACTAATGGGACTTGCCTTGACCTCCAACAAGTTCAACGTTCTGCCACTCATACCGACCGCTTCGCATCATGGCCTGACGACCCAACACCTCGGTGGACGACACATCAGACACAATGGGCTCTGCTGCATCCAAAGCAGCACGAGCAGCGCCGCCGCGGAAATACCCGACGCGTGCAGCGGGCGCCTCACCAACAGCAACACAAACGCAGCCACGTGCGCCAAGAGAGAAAGAAGGAGATGCATCCAAAGCAAGACAGCTAGAAAGCTCTGCACAAGAGCGGCCGTCACGGCCGCCACGGCCGCGGGAACCAGACCCAGCGGCAGACCCGGCGACAGAGGCCGCAGCCAAGGCCGACGACAAGGGTAGGCGACCTCTCTCTCGTCTTTCATCTCATCGATCGACGTTCTTGTGCTGACCTTCAAGACTTGCATTTTGCCGACCGACTGCGCCAGATGGGCATTGTCCAGCCCAACCCGACCTTCTCTCCCTCCTCGACCGCAGGGCCTGTACAGCTGCCGACGACTGGCTCTCGGCCCACCGGCGGCGCTGAGGTCCGTGGCCACGACGACGACATGCTGCGACTGATTGCCCGCAACCGACAGCAGTACGTCCAGTCGCCCGCGACGGCACCCCGCCCCAATACCACTCTCTCCGTTCTCGACGCTCGCCGCCGTATCCAAGACCTCGCCACCGCCGATGACGAGGACATGGCCGAGTCTGGCCGCGAGTTTTTGTCGGCCCTCACACTGCGCGATGCCCTCGTGCTGCGATCCCGCGGCGTCGACCCGGCCGTCATCGAGAGGCGCCTGCGCCTCAAGGGCGGCGTCGTCGCGCGGCTGGGCCCACGCGGCCTGGTGGAGTCATTGCATGCCGCAGACTCTGCAGAAGAAGCGTCAAAGGCAGAATCGAAGCGATGAGAGCGTGGCGGCAAACGGGTTGTTTCCGCGGCCTTCTCTTCTTTTCTTGCCTGTTCATGTACAACATACCCTGTAGAATATCTCACAATATCACGAATTTGGACGAAACTGTGCACGAAGGGAATGAAAAGTCCAGTTGAGTCGTGAAAGCCATTTTGTCGTGTTCAGTTTTGGAGCCTTTTTTGCCTCTCCTTAATGCTTCCGCAGTGTCCCCCAGAACTCCTTCCCTTCCCTGCTCTTGTCGTCGTCCCTTCCTACTCTGCTGGTTGTTCGCGAAAGCAAAGGAAGGCACAACCATGTACACCTTCGCTCCTTCCCACTTTCCGCCGATACACCCGAACACCACAACATGTTGTTCACCTATGGCATCGACCCCTTTTCGTCCTCTTCCAAACATCCCCGCATCTCCGTCCTGTTCATCGCCCTGTTCACCGCCCTGTTCACCATCTCGGCCACCATCCCTCCACAGCCCTATATATACGCCCAACGATGCCTCCCTTCTTCTTTGTTCCGTTTTTCTCTCTTCTCTCCTCACCCGCTCCGCCTCCCTCCAAACATCTTCCCTACTTCCAATCCCCCAATTCACAATGCCTTCGAACATCCTCCTTTCGGTGGGGTTTCGAGCCGAGTTCCTTATCGGCTTTACCGAAACGGATCATGACAACAACAATGACAACCTTGCCTGTATTACCAACCGACCGAACAATGGGGGGCCTCCTGCAGTCCCTCCCCCGCCGCCGGACCCGGCCTCCCAGCCGATCCGGCTGCCCGTCCGCAGTAGCCCCGAGAGCCACGATCGCGTGCTCTTTTATGCTGTTGTCCACGCTATGGGCAACTCGATCGCCGTCTCCCAGTTCATCGAGGAGACCGATCCAATTTACCCTTTACTGGCAACTGACGCCATGCGGTCCCCCCCACTGTACGCAAAAAGCCAACTTCGGTTCACACATAAGTGGTTTGTGGCTTCGGCCGCTTCTCATTTCGTGGGCCCACTGGTTCCTGTCATGCTCCCCGACCCCCTCGACGTGGAGGTGGCCCTCAGGCTCCCTCCCCGCTCCTAGCGTTCTCCTGGCGTCCTGTCGCCATTACAACGCCCGTGTTCATGGTCTCGGATGTTCTTCCAGACATGTTCCTACTACCCGACCCACAGCAAGATCAACATGCGTTGCCAACCACGTCTTCGAAGCCCAGCGACGCTCCAATGCGCTTGTCTCGGCTCCCCTGCGGGGCCTACGCTCGTCCGTCCTTACGCAGCTTAACGATTCGTGCTCCTTCGTGGTGCACGTTGGCTTAAACTGTTCCGATGACGAGAACAACCCGCGTCGACTCCTGGCCTTGAAGAAGCTGGTGACCATCCTGTGGCTCGATGGTGAGGCGTTCCTGGCCAAGCTAGCTGGCCCCAAGGCCGTGGCCGTGACACCCTTGCTGACCGAGTCGGCAAGTCTCCGTGTGCGGCCCTCTGGTTTTGCAGGCCACCTGTTAAACGTTTTGGACGACAACCAGGGTAGCAATGCTGCGTACGACAAGTGGCTGTCCCCTTTACTGGGTCCAGCCCCTGTCCTCGCAGACGTCCACAAGCAGGTCTCTCAACGCAACCTAGCGGACTATGTCCTGCGCCAGGAGACTCCGAACGTGGGCACTCGGCCCGGGCGACGCAGGGTCCATTTTCAAGTCGACAATCTTGACAACGGTCTCTCTTCTTCCCCGAACGCGCCCGCGCCCGCGACCGCTCACTCTTCTACTTCGTCTTCGTCTTGTTCCCCATCGTCTCTCTCCCCAGACCCCCTTAGCACTGCTGACCCTGCCCGACGGGCAGCTCTCTATCAACAGTTTGGAGTCAATACCGACCTCACGGTCTCGCATGAGCTTTTCCTGCTCTGGCGTGCCCGTGATGTTGACACCATTGCCAAGCTCATGACCCCGTACTTTTGGAAGGGCCCGTCTCAGGTCCCGCTGCAGCACTGCGCAATTGACTTTGCCAATCTCCGCAACGATGTGCGTGAAGAACGCCGTTCTACGCATCATGCGACCATTGCATTTCGCCTCTTCCCAGCAACGCTTGATCCTGCCATGGTTCTGGCCTGGACGCGCCTGTCTGCCGGCTTAGCGGCGCAGGCGGCCTTTACCTCTCCGGCCCAGTTCCTGAAGATCTGCAACCGCCTCACCGGCGGACCGAAGAGTGACAGCAATGGCTCGCATAGCCCAGGCAGCAGCAACGACAGCAACGAGGGCAGTGTTAGCAGTAGTAGTGGCGGCCCCGGCAGCAGCAGCTATGATGGAAGCTCCGGCAATGATGGTGACAAGGAGAGTAGTAGCAACAGCAGCGACAGCGATGGAGCGGACACCGTCCGAGGTGCCCAACGCTCCAATGTCGCCCCCGAACTACTTATTCCTTTTCGCCAGGCATCCACCGCCGCTCCTCCTGTCGATAACTGGGTCGCTCCGCCTGGACTGGCCCTTCCCATCGCACGTCCTCCGGTCCGGTTCATACCTGGCTATGCCATCGAGGCCCCGGCTGACAATCGGGTTGACCACCCAGCACCCGCGCTTCCCATCGTCCAGCCTCTAGCGCGCGTCCTGGCCCGGCCAAACCGACCTCGTGTGCGTCTGTCCGCCGGTTTCACAGACACGGAAGGTGAAGACGGCGGCAACCTTCAAAACCATAACACGCAGCTCGCCGCCACCATTTACGCGTTGGACAATTACGACTCCCAGGCCAGTGACTGGACCAGCGGCTGGTCGAGCAACAGTATGCCGTACACGGCGACAGAAGGAGAAGAGGTTCTTGATTCGACCGGAGCTCAGCCAATGAATCTCACATGAGTCGGAGCCCTCCTCTTCTTTCCAGAACCTGAATGGCAACGAGCCTGCGATCCATAACCCTGGATCTCAGGGGCGCAACTATTTCAGTGTGGTACTTGCGTCCGACAACCATGCCTCGGATACCGACGGTTGGACTAGCGATAGCCCGCCATACACCACGGAAGAAGAGGTGGACACCACTGCTCCCGCCGGATCTCAGCCAATGGATCCCACATCCGGCGAGTGGGAGCCGCCCTCCTCTTCCCAAGACGCACACCGCAGTGAGGTATCTCCTCCCCAGAACCCTGGGCTTCAAGCTGCACTTTCGCCTGACTACCCCGGCACGAGTACCGAAGGCTGGACAAGCGACAGCCCGCCGTACACGACGACTGACGAGGAGGACGCTTCTGATTCGAGCGGAGCTCTGCCAATGGATCTCACATCCGACGAGTCGGAGTCGTCCTCTGCCTTCCATGTATTTTCGTCTGACCACCACGGCCCGAGTACCGACAACACGCCCTACATGACGACCGAGGAGGAGGACGCCTCGGATTCGAGCGGAGCCTTACCAATGGATTTCACATCCGACGAATCGGAATCGCCCTCCTCTGTCCAAGACGGAAATGGCAACGAGTCTTCCTATTACATTCCCGACATGGTTGAGTCTGAAAATCACGGCTCGAATACTGACGGCTGGACTAGCGACAGCCCGCCCTACACTTCGGCAGGAGACACTTCGGGTGAAGAAGAGGAGCCTTTCACTCCGACACAGCTGATGGACCTCTCGTCTTATGACACCGAGCCGTCGTCCGTTCTTCCCAATGATCCAAGCCATGTCATTGATGAATCTGACCGCTACCATACGGATACTGAAGGCTGGACGAGCGACAGTCCCCCGTACACCTCGGAAGAGGAACATTCCAGCCCTTCCGTTGTGCACGATGCTAACCTTGACGCTGTCATGTCGGGCGAGTCCGATAACCAGTCTGTGATCCCAGATTCTGCTTCTAACCATGCCGCTCCTAGTAACAACGACCAAAACGACACCCCACCACAGCCCGCTCATGCTGCTGGCATTCCGGCCGCGAGCTTCGTCCAGAACTCTCAGAGAGACGCCTCTCGCGAAGGCTCGCCCCTGGATGACCATGTACGCGACAACAGCAACGACCTGGACGCTGATCCGTTTGATGTCTGGGCGTTTGTGCGATGGCTGAACATTGGTCACGAGCCGCTTGAAACTCTACGCCAATTTATCGACGTGCACAACAATGTGAACCCCGAAGACCAACCTCAGGCGGACGGCGGGCTCCCCACGTTTCCCCGGTAAGTTGCAAAGAGGCTGACAATTGAACATCTAACCACCAGTGCACCGGAAAGAAAAGGGTTGAGAATGAGAACCCCGAAAACGACAAAAAAATTATGAAAACAGAAAACATCAAAAAATAGGGGAGTACGTAAAAGAGCTTTTTCAGCTCCCTGCACCCAATGCGAGTGCGGGTCACGATTGTTGTTGCTGTGAAGTGCAAGCCCACTGGTTTCTTTGCTTTTCCTTTTATTTTTCCTTTGCATTTCAAATATTCAGTCTAAAGAAGTACAATAAAAATAATCAGAAAAAGCTCTGAATGCTCACCTTTCATGCAATGTGACTTTATCTAGGTTCACAATTTCTTCCATTGTAAATACACTCTCTCGCCCGCAGTACTTACAACACTCCTGCGGCAATATTCTCATCAACGGTCCCATTGTTACGGATTGTTCATATAATCATATGTCAGCATGGAAGCACGGAAGCTCCCCGTTGCTGGTATATACACATGAGAAAGAAAAGAAAAACGTATAAAAAATGCAAAATGCGTCGTACAATCGTAATAAGCCATCGCGGGGAACAGACTCGGATGCTCCCCGGTCGTGTTCAGGCCATTATTGATAAGCGCTCAATGGCGACACGCGAGCGGTGTTAGGAGATAATCTCACTGGCAGCATCCCTTGTGGAGTAGCGCTGTGTCCTGATGAAGCAGGTGTCACTGCTTGTATTAGACTGCTGACGTGAATTCGGCAGACCCAAGAAATCTATAATTTAAGTGGGGCTCCACAATTCGTCGTGTAAGTGGTACGGGGATTGACCTCATTCAATTCGCAATCACGCGCCGGGTACTAGTATTTCTGTGTTTAGTTGCTCGGTGATTATGAACAGAGTGTGCATGTCATGCAAAAGTCTCCTTTGGACCACCGCGTACGACGTAAATGACGTGTGATGGAGTACGGCCCTCTCTTTCCTGATCACGACAGCAGGATAGCACCTTCCCGTCTGCAAACCCACACTGTTTCCGGCTTTGCCCCGCTTTCCTTTCTAGTTTCACTGGCATCATTACAAAGAGAAGGAGCTGTCGACACTCGTTGTCGCCAGTCGCAACTTCCTCGCCGATTCTATAAAGGCGTCCATTTCCCTCCTCTTTTCTGTCTAATTTCTGCCGCATCTCGTCCTTCCCTTCATCCGCTTCTTCATACTCCCCTAAACAAACCTCATCCTCAACAACGCCAACAGCAGCTCTCTCCACGCTACGCACGATCAACAGCCATGGCTCCCAAGATCTTCATGTAAAGCCTCGAAGCCGATTCCTCAACGTAAATCGATGTGTTTGCTAACGAATCGTCCTCACGTCTAGCACCGGTGCCACGGGTTACATTGCCGGAGACGCCTTTCATGTCCTCCAAAAGACACACCCCGAGTACGACTACACGTTGCTCGTGCGCAGCCAGACCAAGGTCGATGCCGTGAACAAGGCGTATCCGGATGCCAAAAACATCCACTACGTCATTGGCGACAATGCGAGTGCTGATGCCATCTCGGCTGCCGCCGCTGCTGCCGACGTCGTCCTTCATACCGGCAATTCGGCCGACGACATCCCGTCGGCCAAGGCCATCATTGCCGGCCTCGTCAAGGGTCACACGGCCAGCAAGCCGGCGGCCTACATCCATATCTCCGGCACGGGTATCCTCACCTGGTACGATCAGGACAACAAGCGCTACGGCCAGCCACCGCTGCCCGAGCAGACGTACAACGACTATGACGGGGTTGAGACGCTCGTCACCGGTCTGCCCGACACAGCTATGCACCGTGACGTCGACCTGGTTGTCCAGGCTGCAGCCCGCGAGCACAGCGACGTCTTGCGCGTTGCCATTGTTGCCCCGCCTACCATCTACGGTGCTGGCCGCGGCCCTGACAACTGGCGCAGCATCCAGGTGCCGAGCCTGGCCGAGTACGTGCTCAAGGAGGGCTACGCACCGTATGCAGAGGGCAGCGGCGAGACCGTGTGGGACAACGTCCACGTGCACGATCTCAGCAACCTGCTGGTGAGCCTGGTCGAGGCGGGTCTCGACCCGACCAAGTACGGCAGCGCCGCCGCCGGCAACGACAAAGCCCCGGGCGGCCTCTTTGGTGTCTACGCCTACTACTTCGCCAGGGCCGCCACGCACAAGTTGGCCGATGTGGCGCGCTGGGTGGCAGCGGCCGCCGCCGACCAGAAGCTGGTCCCCAACGCCACGGCCAAGCCGACGCCCGTTCCGGTGTTCACGTCCAAGGACGCGCCGGGCATCCCCGCCATCAACCTTACGTGGGCGCTCAACTCGCACGGCGAGGCGGAGCGTGCGCACAAGCTGCTGGGCTGGACGCCGACCAGCCGCAGCTTGCAAGACGATGTGCCGCAGCAGGTTGCCGACGAGGCCAAGCGCCTTGGCATCTCCCCCAAGTAGGTGGTCAACGTCTTGAGTGCTGCTCGAAGTGAGTATGCAAGAGGGGCCAGTCACGTATGGAATGAAGGACAAAGGAGAAACAATGTGAATGTGATTCGGGTTTGATAGCTCCTAGGACGAAACTCGAAAATGGTGCCATCCATCACTTGCCATGACCTATGCAACCTCATCAACAGAAATGTAGATCGTCAGCTGCACCTCGTTGTTCATCATGGGCTTGAAGCCCAGCTCGCGCCACGCCCGCGCCGTGTCAATTTCCAGCACGTGCGGGTCCTGGGCCGAGACGGCTGCACAGTGCGCCGGAATTGGCTGGTCGCGCATCGTCACCAAGAAGCTGTCCGCCACCGTGCGGTGGCCCTCGGCCAGCCCGGACACGTACAGACCCAGTATGCCGGGTGCCTTGAGCGATGTCTGCAGCGAAACGCGGTTGTTGTCGTCGCGCTGGCGGTAGGTCGTGCCAACAACGGCGGCCGCGCCCGCCATTTTGCCAAGCAGACCGAGGTTGGCCACATGCAATGGGTTGTTGGTCGTGCCGCCGCCGCCGCTACCACGACGGCTATCAAAGGAATGCACCTTGTACACGCTCACAATCTCGTACTCATACGTGTCGAGCGCCAGCGTAAGCAGCGCGTCGGCGCCCACCGGAGCGCCCGTGATCCTGCCCGAGGTATGTGCACGGGCCACGTACAGCATGTCTGCGCCGTCGCTGGCGTCCACGCCCGGCACGCGCGCCAGCGGCACCAGCTCGTGCACACGGCGGTCCGACACGTTGAACACGCCCAGAATGCCCGTGCCCGCAGAGTTGCCGTGGTAGCTGCCCACCTTGAGCAGCACGTTGTCGTGGAAGCCGACGTACTGGTCGAGCGAGCGGCCGACGACGCTCGGCCGGAAAATGACCGTCTTGTCGTACACGCTCGTGCCGGTCATCTGCTGGATCAGCCCCAGGTCGTGCTGGCCCGGCGTGTCGGTGATGTAGATGGGGCCGCCACTGACACAGCGCGCCGCGGCGTGGAAGGTCGAGTAGCCGTGCACCGTCTGGAACATGTCCCAGTCCGGCAGCACGTTCAGGTGCTGCGTGAACAGGTTGTTGTGTGCATTGGTCCAGACGTGCCAGGGATGCGACGCCGGCACGTCCGGGAAGAAATCGTCCGAGTTGCGGACCAGCAGCGGCGGCCGATTCTGCGGGAGCTGCGAGTAGAAGAGGATGTTGGGCGTCTGCGACATGCAGCTCACGGCGCGGCTGCCAAAGTGCCGCAGCGTGGCCACCGTCCAGGCGTCCTGGTACCTGGTTGTGAGCGCGCGCCGCGTCGCTGCCGACGTCCATGTGTCGATGATGAACTGGGCGTCCGTCTTGACGCCGTCGACACCGCAGTCCACGAGGAAGGCGTAAAAGTCATTGTAGAAGCGCTGCACGTCCGGCTCGTCCACCACCACCATGGGCCCGGCAATGGGCAGGTCGCGCCGCTTGGGATGCGCGCGCGTCACGACGCGGGTCGCGTACGTCTTGGCCAGTTCGCCGCCGGCGGCCGCTGGCGTCAGGCCGCCCCAGTAGCCCAGCAGCGCGTGCCAGACGGCGACGTGCTCGATGGTCGGGTGGCGCTCGCGCACGCGCTGGACGGCGTGCTTGAGCCCCTGCGGAAACTGCTGCGGGTCGGCTTCGAAGCGTGTCCACGTGTACTGGAACTGGCCGTCCCCGTGGGCGCGGTCAATGGACTGCCAGTTGTCGTCGATGATGAGGTTGGCAATGCCGATGCCGTGGTCGGCGAGCGCGTCGACGGCGGCCACGATCTTGTCCTCGGACAGGTTCTGGCCAAGACTGTTCCACGTGCAGAAGCCGAGACCATCGTACCAGTTCTCCAGCCACGCCGGCTTGACCTCGCCGGCGAGCGTCTGGATTTCCTCGGCGTCCGCCGTCGCCATCTGGTGCACCAGCGAGCGCGCGTGGTACATGACGGCCGCATTGGCGCTCTCAAACGTGTCGCACGCCGCCACGAGCACCGTGGCCGTCTCGGCCTTGGGGCTGTCGCTGCGGACGCTGAGCACAAGCTGGCGGTTGTCGTCCTGCCCGCCCTGGAAGAGGCCCTGGACGTGGTCGACGCCGCTGATGGCCAGAAAGACCAGGTGCCGTCCATCGATGTCGCTCAGAAACGAGCACAGCACGGCGTCCAGCGCGCGGTCCAGCGCCTGCCGGCCCTGCTGTGGCGCCAGCCAAGGCGACCACAGCCGCATGAGCGAGAACCAGCGCAGGAAGCGGCCGTTCCAGGGCATGCCGATCGGGACGGTCGTGTAGGCGGACTGGTCCCCCCCATCGTCGGCGACGGCAGCCACAGGCACCGTCAGCTCCCACAATTGTGCGCCCGGCGCCTGGCTGCGTGGCGACGTGACGCGGAATGCCGGATTGAGGTCGCCAATCAGGTCCTGGAGTTGGGCGAGCGGCGCGACGGATGATGCCTGCTCGTCTGTCACGGTCTGGGGTGGCGGCAAGTTGGGGATGCTGTTGGCGTCGTCGGTTGCTCTCCGACCTCCTGCGACGGGGTCCCGCACAATGACGGTGCCGTCGCCAATCTGCTGCTC